GTTTTTAATACCAGCCCAATGACGTGACAAAATTTCCGTGTCAAAATGACATTTGGTCAAACGGTGACGATTTTAGTGACGCGCCGAGCGGTCATTTCGCCATGCTTTTAGAAGCTCAGGTACCGTTTCACCACCCGCTTCTCATTCATCTCACTGCAATCTCAACCCATTTACTCACCGATGAGACTGGCACCTAATTTAACTATGTATATGTACAATATCATTACAATTTATTTACTATTTAAAACTTTTCAATATTGTTTTTCCTTTCAAATATTGGAGCTTAAAAACCATGCGGAAAAAATACAACTTCTTAATTTAAACAAATAGAGAGATTTGTTCTTCAAAAAGGGGGGGGTGAACATTTTGTAACTTTTAAATTCGAACGGAAAAAATAATATTGATAAGCTATAAATAGTAAATTATAATGATATTGTAAATATAGTTTAATTAAGTACCAGTGTGCTCGGTGAGTAAATGGGTTGAGATTGCAGTGAGATGAATGAGCAGCTGGATGCAGAATGAGCGGGTGGTGAAACGGTACCTGCGCTTCTAAAAGCATGGCGAAAATGACCGCTCGGCGCGTCACTTAAATCGTCACCGTTTGACCAAATGTCATTTTGACACGGAAATTTTGTCACATCATAGGACTAGTATTAAAAGCTGCGTCTAATAGTGGATATGCTGGGAGCTCCGGGCACTATAAGAGGTTCCCTCGTTAGTACTCAGGACGAATGTTTCGGGCGAAATGGGAGGTTTTTTGTTTTCTAAATATTAAATTACTCCTTTACTTGAATTACTTGAATTTCCCTACAAAGTGTATACCAAATGGATGTTTTTCTTCAAATGAATTACAAAATGTTACTTAAGCTTCTTTCAAGCGTAATGTCTTGCTGTTGAAATAATCAATAAGAAAATCGGATGTGAAAGAGACATTAGCATTATGGCCCCAGGGAGATTTTTTCAACCACCAGCAAAAATTTGCCTGCAGGCAAGTATACCCCTGTCCCAGAGAAAGTTAGACAGTGATCTATGACAGCGACGTGTTTATAATATTTTTATAAAACCTTTGGGGTAGTGTATGTAAGTAGGAACCATAGCCGTCAGATTTTGTTGTGGAGAATTTGCATCAGCCCCTTCTTTGCCACTACTCAGACTTTCGGCAACAACCCTCAAAATATTGATTTTCCACCCGCTTGCGAAATGTCCTGGCTGATTTTTCGCCACTAACGATTGAATTCTTCCAGCTTTTTCGCATAGGAGTTTATGTTAGAATATCTTGTTTTGCAAAAGGCATAATACTTTTCGATTCGTTGCAATTGGGCATTCGAGGGATTATCTTTTTAAAGCAAAAAATCGACTCCGTCAGCCACGAAGTACGCGGTTCAAATTTTGGCGTAAAGGGAGGTTGCTAGGTCCGGGCAAAATCAAATTTCATTCAGATTATAAAGTTTCCTTCTCCAGAGCTGTGACCGATTCAAAAATTTGATTTTGTTTACTTTTGTATTTATGGCACTTTTTCAAATACAAGCTGAAATGTTGCCAAAACTGTCCGGCCCCAGCCAAACTAGGAATTTCACAAGGAATTTGGTTTTCACTTTAAGGGTGGAAAAAATCCGTCCTGAGTATTAGGCTTTAAGTGTAAAATGCTATCGTTTTTCTGTGAACTATGTATGAACTACCCTACGAAGTAAGTAAATATTAGAAAAATTAGAAAAAGGGGCTTTATGGTAAAAGTCCTTTTAAAACTTGTGTGATAAGTATGTGCTAAAGTACTTTTAGCGTTCAAACCGCCTCCACGTATGTATCCATCGACTTGTCGAATCTTGCAAGTAACTACTTTATCTCCGCATTACATATTATTCGGTGTATTCCGGGCGTATGTACATATTTAGGATTAGACACGTGTTTTTGGCCAGCTCACTCTATGTGAATTACATCCCACTTACAAAATGAGCTGGCTTTTTGTTGTAACGATGCTTTTAACAAATTTTTATACCCTCATTGCACAAAACGACGCTCGTGATTTAAACAAATATCAATACAGTATTCAAGAAAACTTCAAATATATTTTGAAAACATTTTCGCATTGCACAACGGTCCTTCGGCTATCCAATTTTACCCCGATTTTTTTACTTGACAACTTTATGGTGCAACATCCCATCCTAATTTTTCACAAAAATCGACTTAACGCTACAGTCTCGGGCGGAGTATATTTTCCGCTGAAACGTATTATGTTTGGGAGACGCCGGACGAATTCAAAATTCTGTAATGTATTCGTTTTAACCAATTTCCTAAGCGAGCTAGGTGTTTTGGATGTGTTAAACAGTATCCATGGGAACGTTGTTTTTCCTAAAGTGCGTTCTTTTCCTCAATATTTGGTCTGGTTTGTGACGATTTTAACAATTCAAAAGTCCCGCAATCTCACGAATATATTTTTAGACTTCAATAAATCATTAAATTACTTGGAAACGGCCATATTGTTCAATCGATTCATGGAATTTATCATCGTGGATTCCACTGACGTTGAAGAAGCATCGATTTTTTACTACAATCGATACCACAACCTTGTCAACCCTCCAGGCTATAATCTCGCAAAGTGGATAAATTTAAACTGCCCCGCTCTGTCTGCTGATTCCATCACGTGCTACAACTTACTTGACCTATTTGCCGAAACGACGTCCCAATTGAACAAGTACTTTTGGCGTCACCACACCTGGATCGTTAGGACAGATCAGAATCAAACGTATCATCCCACCCCACATAGAGCAGGAATAGTTCACGACACTACTAACATAGCGCCAGATTTAAGAGTTGCAAACATATCAACCTCACTTGACGACTTTTTAGGCTTTTTAATGTTTAAGGATGTCCTTCTCAACCAAACGTTTCCCTCCGACTACGAAACGAATAAACTCTACGTATTTTATGGACTTCAAGCTACATCATTTTCCGAAAAAGCACAAATCCAGGAATTTCTTCCGGTTAGTAAAGAATCCTTAAGTTTCCTCTCGTGCTATGGAGTCTCGCGGGAAAAAAGTAGTAAAATGTTTCTCAGTCCGTTTAGCTCGGAAGTGTGGATCGGAATCGGGCTAGGAATTATTTCCTTATCAATTGTCTTATCAATGAACGTTTTACCCGCTCAGAACTTATTCTGGGTAATCGTAGACAATTTAGTCACCATGATTGCCATTCCGCTCGAGATATCTTTACTAGGACTTCCGCTAGCAAGGAAGAAATCATTACTTCTTAGAAGTCTCATGTTCACCTGGGTTCTTTCCTCCATCGTTTTGACCGCGTATTATAAAACGTTTTTCACCTCAGATATAACCCTTCCATATGGGAGGATACCGTCTTGGAGAAACGTTTATGATCTACACGGTTTTAAATTTCTCCTCCAAACGGAATACATTTCTCAAGCGAGTAACCGAAATATTAGCGCGGAACCGACCTCAATTACAGATTTTGGGTTTGCTTATGGTCTCCTGGATTATTCGGGGTATTCTGGAACCGTTAAGGAGTTACTCGGGTATAAAAGCATTTCCGGGTATCTGATCGGGTGTGACCCGTACTACTATTGGCATATGGACAGAGACCAGTTTCACGTGCTGAATAGGACCACGTGTTCGAAAGAATGGTGTGATATTCCCGATCCTGAAGAAAACGATGGAGTTAAGAAGATGTCGTATCAATTTGCCCCAGTTTGGAGGTCCGTTCGCTACAGCAAACCGCAAGATTTTGTACAAAGTTTGGCATCATGTAGCGATAAAGTGGCTTATCTTGATAAGGTTGAGCATATCGAAACTTTGCTACCATATTTGAACGACAATGCGGACCAGCGCGTCTATTTGAAAGGGTCGGACGGGTTTTTGGAAACGGTGAAAGGATTCTCTGACGATGATGTGGGTCACGTGGTACGGAATGATTTTGTGTGGGAAAGGTTAAAAGTATTGTTAAGATCGGGTATCTTGCAGTATTGGATGGATTGGTTCGGTAGGAAGAGGCCGGATAAATTGTTTCCGTTCTATGCTAATTGGAGCTATCCGGTTGTCGAGGCACGGGATAAGATCGATTTCAATTCGAAAATCCAAACGATTTTTGTTGTGTGGATATCATGCATGGTGGGATGTGGAGTTGGATTTTTGGTAGAGTTAATATTTTCGGTCCATACTTCAAGATTGAAGTGAAACGTGGTAATTTTGTCAATGAAAAAAAGAGTAGGAAGAAGATTGAAAAGTAAAATGTAAATAATATGAGCCGGCATTTTACAGTACATATAACTGATAAAAATAGTGATCGATGCATCGTTATACTTCTAACAACAATTCGCACCTCACCTCTTTGAAAAATGCCGATAAACCATCCTCCAAACCTGCCTGTTTCTCAATTTTATGAGTTTGGAGAATATGTATGTACATAATTACCTATGTTGTAAATTCTAAATGAATTTATCCATAATTGCTATAAATTTAATTTTATATCCAATAAAACCACATATTCCGACTATGTATGTATGTATTCCGTATCATTTCGGAAAAATAAATTACATTCAGACCTTAGTTAAAGAATGGTTGATCAAATTAATTTGCACAGTACAAAAATAAATTACGCATTTACATAATTGTGATGACAAGTGAATAATTATCTTCCATCTTTAACCCTTTAAACTGTAGCGACGACAATAGTCGTTTTATAAGAAATGGTTTAATTCGGGAGTACGACAAAAGTCGTCCTGAAAACTCGTGGTCATGGCGCGGAAGGACGACAATTGTCGTTTCTAGGAGGTCATTGATTTTCACCATTTTCTCTCCGCGACCAAAAATTTGTTGCAATTTTGAGGGATTTCTCCTATGCCAACACAATGCTAAATTTGAAGATTTTCTTCCCAAAAATTTTGATATTTCCCTATACAACTCAATGTTAAATTTTTGATTTTTCAGTTTTTCGAGTTTTATTAAAAACTCCTGAATTTCTCCTCCCGCGCCATGACCACAGCATACTTATAGTGTCCCCGATTTAATGCATTTTCTTGTCGTTAATCATACACGTTAAAGGGTTAATCTCGTATTTAAATACTTTCCTAAGATACTAGTCGTATCCTCTTAGTTAAGCTTGCATTATCTTGATCATCATTTCCTAACAGATTTCGTACATCATTGTCTTGTCCCGTGGTGGAGGTCACTTCCTGTCCAATTCCACGTTTCATGCCAGAAATATTTTTCCTATTAGCGACATAGCTAAGGTGCAGCAATTTTGCGGCTTTTACAGAATCTCCGCCCTTGTAGGCTTGCACCCAGGGGGGTAACTGTTCCCCACGTGCTTGCAATGTGGTTTCCTGTACATAAATAAAAACAATTTTACAAAATACAGAATATTTTCAGATTTCGAATTTCCATTATCTTGCAGTTAAAAAATAAATTTGCATACCAATTGTCCTAAATGTCTAAGAATATCGTCCCGACTTCTAGGTCTTTGTTTCACAAGTACAGCCCCATTACAATTTGGACATTTTGCATGAGATTCCTGCCCAACAACGCGAACACCAGGTTTCATCCTACTGACGGAATGGTGAGACAAGATTCGCAGCGTGTTCATTACTTCACCCATTTCCGGTTCCTCACTACTGGAGGAAGATTGTGGCAGGTAGAAATTGCTGATTAAGTTCCGAGACATTTCTGAAAATATTAACGTACAGGAAAATTTAGTAATAAGAAATAATGATGACACAGTTCACGCAGTCCTTGGTAACTTTACACATAAAATCTGTTAATTTTGTGAAATAATTTTACAAATTATAAAAACGCTCTTGACTAAACTAACAGAAATTTTCAAGCTAATTTCTCTTGGAAATATTTGAAAAATGTTGTACCATTTTGCAAATTTACAGATTTCACAAAGTTACCGGTGAATTGCGTCAATGTACCAGATATGTAATTTTTAAATTATTGTATAAAAAATGTACATATTTGTACCTGTATTCCCCATTGTAAACGATATATATTTGAAATTAAGTAAGTGCAAAATGTAGTAGCTTTTTGGACACTCTGCGTGAGTCACTTGCTATTTGCAGAATGAGTTAATTGAAAGACGAAAACTTTTATATTTATAGTGAACGGGTGCATGACTCGATATCAAAGTCATGATGAGCATGTGCATTAGTAAGCACATTTCATTTATGAGCTTGTACACACGTATTTACATACACCACTACGTCATGTCACATTAAACCCCATGATGTTTTTTATACGCAGTAATCTACTGGAGGTGAATTATGTGAAAACGTGTTTCAACAGAACTCGAGAGCAATGATGCATGCATACTCTTAGGCAATTGGTATTGAATCATTAATGGCCGAAGTAAATATGTACATGACTCTACCGGCATCGGTAATATCGATCGTTACGGCGTAGTAATGTAGTGGTAATGAGAACTATTTACATATTTACCACTCCGAATTAAATTATTACCAATCTGGTAGGGAATTTCATATATCCAAATCAATACAATTATGGGGTACATATGTACATATGTAAATGTGTGACTCTACCGGATACTTTACAGTGTACATAAGTATGTATTTATGTAAATATCGATAAATCTGACCTCAATGAAATCCCATTGATGAAGAGCTATTGTATCAATTACTTATCTTTTTACCACGTTTCTAACATATGAGAACTTATGAACTTGTACAGTTTGAACTCTGGTAGTGAATAATTATTCCCAATTTTAATCAATGACAGAATCGGTAAAAACCAGGGATTATGCAATCAGTTATGAAGGAATTACTGAGTATTTATCACAATTTAATTCTGCGTAAGCTAAATTCTATTACATAAAATATGTATCCACTTATGTAAATATTACTTAGCTCTCCGGCGATAAAATTTAGCAGCTAAGTGGTTTTTAACACGAAATTACAAACTTTGATACTTCTCATGACGCATTTCCTAAAGATGTTATCGAGTTGGTGTTAAAAATTGGTAGTAAACAAAGCTTTCGTATGCAAATTACTTGATCATCAAGTTGTATAAATTCTTGTCTGGGGGCTGGTGCAAAGTTGGAGATGGGTTTTCATGAGAATCTGTCAAGTTCAATGGGCATTCATGCACAAAAAATCTGAATGAGTTCAAGTCTAAACGTGTCTCAATTTTTTGCAGACGTGACAAAAAATAAGTGGTTCAGGTATGTACAACTTGATCATGTAATTCATGCAATTCCTCGAAAAACCAGGTACTCATAAGCTCGTTAAGTGTATATATTTGCACTATAAACATTTACATGAATCTGAATCACATGAAATTATTGTCATCCGGTCTTTACTAGGAAATAGAAATTCAAAACGGCAATAAATTTCTCGTCTGGTAATAAATATGTAAATGATAAAATGAGAATACCCCGTAATAAATTTCATTCATGAACTACATAAATAAATATGTTTGTGAATTACACTATTTTGTATTTACATATTAATGTATTTTAATGTTCAGACACAACACAACACGATATGTATTTACACATTACATTGAAATGATGCCCTCAGTTCTACGAAACGATTACCAGTGCGGATTATCCATGACTAAGTACATCAATGTTAACCATTGATGTGCTCTGTGTAGATAAAATTATCACTAATTCATTTCTATGAAATACGAATGAAGAGCTGCAACTCGTTTTTACGAGGTGATAAGTACCCGTATTACTGTGAACTGCATCTTTCGAAGCAATTTTGCGAACTACGCACTACATAACTTGAATGGTTCATGATCATTATAAATATGACTGAAAAATAGAATCATACTTATTTGCATATATTTTTTGCATACACATTTTTAATTTTAGCCGTAATAGGTACCTTCCATGATTGGCCTGGATTTATTGCAAATATTTTCAAACATTTTAAAACCAAAATTCGCTAAAAAATGAAAAAGCATCTGCGGTGGAGTTAGCAAGAATTTGATAAAAATATCCCTGCTGGAAACATCATTAAGGTCAATATCACAATATTGTGAGTCTGTTGTAATGTATACATATAATAATACCGATTAATTTAACATGAGCGATAATACGAAATACATGAAATTTCCGGTTAGCATCAACACCCTATTCTCAACGCATTTTTTTGCGAAACGAGTAATTGATTTCGAATGAACTTAAGAATGAATGTATGAATCAAGTTTAGTTCTTGAAAATGTATGGATGGACATGTATGTATGAACTATACCCGTGCAGTTCATTCCCACTGTTTCCATTAGGGAGATCCCAATGGGAAACAGTGTTGGGAAAATGGGAAGGATTCCCCATCACTTTTCTCAAATACGAACCCATTGATTCCCATTCGAAATTTCGGCAGAAAAATTCCACTTCGGCATATATGATATCGGTGAACAGTATCCAGTATGATAATATAATATATGAAAACCATCAAAATTCCCTTTGGATATCTTAAAATAAATCCCAGAACAAAAACAAAATACCGACTATTAAAAATTCAATGTATTTATTTATACAAGAATCCAATTAATAAATTTTATACTATTCTTAATTCTCCCCTACCAAGTTGAGATACTCCTCAACTCTCGTTTCTGAATCATCGGAATTCGAACAACTGAATTCCGGCGACATGATCGTAGAATTTCCAGCCAGACCTGTGAGACGATTCATCTTCTTTCTGGCATCCCCAGGAATATTGTGAAGCTTCTTTTCAAAAGTTAACCACTCAACAGTATTTGGCTTCAGGTCGAAAATTTCCGTTGTGTAATCTATAAAAAACAGTACATTTTCTTTTAGGTTTTTTCATGTTTTTTTTAACCATATAGATCAATAATATGATGAATATCAAGCTCACCCTTTAATGTTTTAAATCGGATAGGGTCGATACATCTTCGAACGTTGTTCCGAATTCAAAATAGCTTTCGTCCTCCCAACATACGACATGTCACCGCAGGTATATTTAAAAGAATAGAAAATTTACCAGAGCGAGTAATTTAGGCTGACCAAAGAGAAACTAAAAAAGCATGACGAGGAGTGAATTCCAAATATGCCGCTCAGTATTTATCGGGGATGCTTGATATATTTCATGCCTTTTCGTCTAAATCCAACATGATTAATTCAGATGGGATATTGAGTTTTGTAATGCAAGTATGTTCCAATCAGATCCCGTTAACGTTAGCAATTCCATTGGGGACCTAGCAGTCATTTTCCTGTATAAAAATTTCCAATTGGATTTTTTACATGAAATGCATATATGCATCACATCTTATTGGAAATATACTGTAATCATAAGGGATCCGTAAGGATCCATCTACTGTTCAGATTCCCCAATGGATCCCAAGTCTCAGAAACGCACGGGTATACTATGTAAATCTATACACATGTGGCACCAATCATGACAAAGTGTCTCATGTCTCGTAAAAATAATGAAATACTTATTTATTCATTTCTTCGTTTCCTTCACTCCCACATTACTCCGTTAACTGTTAACTTATTAATCTACATTTCCACATCATATGCATGCATAAGTATGTAAATAAATTGTTCGGAGAGTGTTAAGGCAGACCGGAAAATTAATTCACGTTATCGCTTAAAGCCTCGCCCAAATTAAGGATAAGAGAGTTAACGCCATGCAATTTAGCAGCTACTATGTTCATATTATTTTCCAAGTATTGAGTATGACGAGCTTCATGGATGAAGTAAATTTCCGCTAATTACGATATATAACCCATATAAGAAATTACATATGATCATGAGCAGCCACTGTGTGTTATAAACAAGGTCCTAAAAAAAGAGGAAATCTTAGTGAGGTGGTGCAGTCACAACTAATAAATAAAATTAGATTGCAGAATTTTTGCATCACCGCTCTTGGTACAATTTTTTCTGGAAGCAATAATCATTTAAAATATTTATTTGGTCTGTTCGTAAGAATAATAGAATATCCAAATTAATAAGGGAAATTATAGATTAGCTTTTTAGAACTTTTTAAAACAAATCCGTATATAGTTCACAATAGTTTATCAATTATATTTTATCTCAGTAAATTTAGCCCAATTCTCGCAAAATTTCTAGCAAAAACATCTTCTTGAAGTCTCAATTTACTCAGTAAAATCAAGAATTCACGTATATACAAGCAAAGTTTATTGTAAAAATGGCACCGAGAGCGGTGATGCAAAAATTCTGCAATCTAATTTTATTTATTAGTTGTAACTGCACCACCTCACTAAGATTTCCTCTTTTTTTAGGACCTTGTTTATTTAATACTTGTAATTGAGTGATTTACATAATAAACACCACGAATTCCTCAAATTTAGCGTTAGCATAGCATTTGTTGTCAGCTATATAAATGCTTTGCGTGGCTACCAAGTTTCTAAATGGAATATTGTAGCGGTTTCTTAACCGATTTTGACTCTTCTTATCTTAAAATTTACAGAAAAAATACTCTATAATTGATGTGATTTGAAAACTTTCTTAGCTGTTCTATAAATCAATCAATTCCATAAATGAAAATACGTTACTAAGATCACATTTTTGGCTGTAAAACTTAAAACTACAAAAGCGAGTTCGATAACCATTGCGTAATGATGATACGTGTAATTTAATCAAAATCAGTTGAAGATGAAAATCTTTGCATGAGTTATCCTGCAGTCACTTTGTTGGCGTGGGGTGAATGCATAGTTACTGAATTTTTTGTTGCTAGGAATTTGCCTCACTAAGAAAAATCATTACGCAGTTAATTCTTAACCGATTTTGGTCATATTTGGCTTAAAAAATCCAGAGTGAGTTTATCTAAAATTTTGCCATCAGAAAACTACCCCTGATTCTCCAGTAATTAGTTAAAAATCAAAATGTGTTACCAGGGGTACATTTTCGTTAATAAGTCGAGTAAAAATCAAGCAATCGCTAAGTCCAATAGCCAATCGTTTTCGAATTGAGTCAGAATGACCGGTGCAAAATTTCATCAAAATCGGTTGAGAAATGGCTAAGTTATCGTAAAATGTCACTTTTTTTAACGTGAGTAACTGCATACTTAGTGTTTTTTCGTTGCTAAGTATTTTGCCTCACTAAGAAAAAGTAATTAGAGTTCCTTCATTAGAGCTTTTAGGTATCAAATCCATAGTGTCGAAACCTTACACAAATTCCGATTATTATTTGCAAAAAGAATTATTTATACAATATTCCAATATCAATAAAAGTGGCGTGATTTCATTATTATGTGTATGCCCAAGTATGTAATTGTAAGCATGCGCATTTAATAAACAATGTTTTCATTTGGTCGTGCATCTTTATTATTCATGGCTTATACATTTGTTTATTTGCTTATTAATTTACAAATTAAAAGGATGGAGAGAGCTACTACATAAAGGAGGATAATTGGATAAGATCAGAAATAAATCATAAACGAAAAAGCTAATACAAATTATTTATAATTTTGATGTATCCCCTATATTATTGCAAAGTCTTCTCCAGGTTCCACCGTTGACTGGGAGAGTAGCCATCACACGAGGTCCAACTGATCCGTTCACCATTTCTGCAAATTGTTATCAAATTAATTATCACTCATTAGTTACATACTTAAATGTTGTTAAATATTTTTGCAAAAATACAGTCAGGTGCAATCTTTACAGCCACCCTGATTTTCGTTATCAATTCCGGTCACGTCATCAAAAAATTACCAAATTAGGCTATTATGCATAGAACACTATCCTTTATAACTGTCATAAGCCATAAAGTCGAAATACGCGGCACACTGTTTTTTTCGTACTAAATTTAAAAATTACGGGGTGCAAAACTTTACAGCCACCTAGATTCTATTGGAGATTTCCCCTTTGTTTTTTGGTTGGAAAGGAATTTGATGAGTTTGTATTTTTAACTAGTTTAGAACAAGTTTCTAAGCCGATCGGCATGCATTTTGGGATAAATTATTTTTTTCTTAGCATTTATTTCAACATTAGAAGGTAATTATGACCATTTAATTATGAAGCTAATGGAATATGGGGTCTGAAGTCATCTGACACTCTCTAACACCAGATTTAGTAACAAATAGGTCAGAATTGCTACTTTAGCCGAAATCCTCTAGAATTTAGTGAAGATTATGGTACAACAGTGGGGGATGGATGGGTTCTAAGCTGGAAGTACGTGGATGAATCTGAAAATTGACTGCATCGATCAACCAGAGTGCCTGACGAATGCAAATTTCAACTCTCCCACTACAAGTAGATTGCTGGAGAAATTTTTGAACTAACCCCTTCCCTTGAAATCACGAAGGTAAGGCGACAAACCCTCATTAACCACTATGGACGAACTAATGATCTGACGTGCGCTAATGGGTGTACGGTTTCGTCCACCCAGTGTTCTATGAAAATATGAAATACATCTTAATGGACGCCTTCGATGGACTCCTTCCATTTTATCACGATTTTGGTGCGAGCCGACCGGTTTTCAATGGGATAGACCAGTCGTGGTTTATGCAAGGATTTGATTGTCACGGCAATATATTCTACAAGGAACGTGAATCTTTCTCGCAGTACAATGGACTCGGAAAGTGGTAACTAAGTTTGCCAAGATCAAACTGTGGCGAACCAAGCCAGATTTGGCGAAGGAAACTCGTTTTGCAACAATATAGCGCCATATTATTTTCCTCAGAACGACCAAAAAACGTTTCAATGACAATAAAATCCAGCCACGGGGCAGTCTCAGAACGTCGGCAGACCTAAATTCAATCCAAAAGCATTGCGAGGTAGTGTTAAGAAAATCTAAACACAAGTTACGCTCAACCGACGCTGAGAACCACTTGAAACAAGTAATTTTTTGGTGTATGGCGACAGTGTGGAAAAAAGTGTGCTGACATCATGCTAAATAGAATCTGTAGAGTTACCACGAAGAATTGAAGTGTAACGAAGTTCTTGATATCAAATCTAAATGTTGAAATCGGTCACAAATTGATAAACGTATTTAATAGCCTAATTTTCCAGGTGGCTGTAAAGTTTTGCACCACCCATTTTTTGCATTTAGGATGGAAAAAGTAGTGTGCGGTGTATTTCGACTTAATGGCTCCTGTCAAGCATGTAGGATAATCTTACACACATTATAGCCAATTTGGTAATTTATTGATGTCGCGATCAAAATTGATGACGAAATCCAGGGTGGCTGTAAAGATTTGCTCCTGACTGTATTATGAGCACTGACCCATTATTGTTTAAACAAGTTCCGTCATGGTTTTCGAAAGAAACGGTGCCCTCCTCGTGCCACACCAAAGTGACCGATCGCCCTCCCGGGTAGCAAAAGGGGCCTTCTGGATGGAAAGTGAACTCGTTGAGGTAAAAATCACCCCCACTTGTGGAAAATGTTGCCCATGGACCTGCATATTTATAAATACAAATTTGAGCTCAATACATAATAAAAATAATAAAAGGGACCGTCCATATAATACATCTTCGAAAAGGTGGGTGGATGGTTTTACGTTGCCTATTTTACCAGTGGTAAGCTTAATATGGGTAGGATATGGAAGGGGTTTGTGGATGGTCTAAAAATCTATGTGTTTAATGACGTAATACATGAACGTTCCCTTCCTAACTTTAGCTAAAATTTATTACCCAGACTTTGGTAGATCCACGTGGCCGAAACGGCATTCTCCACATAATTCGATGTTACCACGTGGCCTGCCCCCTTACAATGCTGACCGCCACCAAGGGACTTGAGGAGCTGGATGCCATAAAAATTTTGATATGTATATTGGTAAATCATAGTCCAAAAATTTTAATCGAGAATTATGTAATTTACCAATCCACCCTGTACGGATCGAATGATGAACGGGGTCCCTGTAACGAGCTCCTCTCTTATGGATGGTCGTCCAGAAACAAACGCAATACTGGCCAAAATCAATAGAGCAGCGGTCAAGTAAGATGCCATTTTGTATAGTTCGATGTCTCAAATTTTCCAAAATTTAATTATGTACAAGACGAAACTTTGTCAATTTATGAGGTAAGACTTAACATCGGGCCAGAATTTATATCGTGTCCAAGTTATCAATTACATGCATACGTCAAGGGTTTGCGAAACAAGAATTCTGCATTAACGGAATTCCCGATGTTGGACAATAATTGGGCACTTGTACATATACAGATAAGCGACACGTAGCAGAAGATAAAGTTTGAACTTTTAAACATTTTTGCAAGCAGGTGTAATAAATACGTATTTGTATAAAAATACATTTTGTGTCCTGATGCCGTCATTGATGGACACATGTCACAAAAGTTATATGACAGATCCGTACATATCACGACATTAATTGATTCACACTAATTGAACTTACATATATCGCATCAAACGTCATGCACCAATGTCGTAATAAATCTGAGCACAAAATAGCTTCTGTAAAATCATGAATAGAATTTGTGACTTCATTCAGTTGAATTGATTCTTGCAAATTTATTTTATTGTTTATATTTCGGGATATTAAATTTGTGTTCCTTAATATGAACATTAAATGTATTTATTTGGATAATTATTTATGTCTCGCTTGGAAATTAGGATGATTAAGCTATAATTTAGAAAAGAATAAATTTCACTACAAATTTAGGGACAGTGCGAATCTGACTCTTTCCTGAATTGATTACTCTTCCTCTTTAAACGGGCCTGCCTTTAATTTGTCCAAGAAAACTGCATAAAATAAATTTTATTAGAAATTAGATATATTGTACGTAGTTAGCAGGGTAAAATACAGATTCATATGTAAATATTTGGGAAGATACCTTGGTAACGTGTAAATCCGTCCTCATCTGGTGGAACGGCACAATCCTGATGACATAAATATGTATGTATGCAGAAATTAGAAGCCAGTTTTTCTTAAATTACTTGAGTAAACATGCCCAGCATATGTAATTGAGGCAATTCACGCAGTTCATAAGATTAGTATAAGCATTGGAAAACAAGTAAATTCGAAAACTTGCAATCTATCACACAATTTTACAAAAATCAATATTTCCAAGTGAAAGTGCCTTACAATTTTTGTAAACTTGCTCACGTCAAAAGCATTTTTATAAGTATTGTGTAAAAGTTTGTAAAATTATTTTACTTATCTTAAGAATTTTATGTACAAGCGGCCAATACGTTAATTGCTTCGTTATGAAAAAAAATTGGTAATTTTACACGACTCGTACAGTGTTAAATGAATACATACAATGTACATATATATGACACATAAAACCTTAATGATTTCGTTGACTTCGTCCATTTCCAGTTTCTCTCCTGCAAATTACATAATTAATTCTCGACTTTATTATTACGTACAGTTCAGAAAATTTGTCATTTACAAATATTTGAAATACCCATGGCGAGAAGGATATGTCTCAATTCGTCAAAGATCATGGTCCCATCCTCTGATTTATCATAAAGTTTGAGACATTCCTTAAAATCGTCAAAATTTCCCACATCTGTATCCTTCTTGGCTTGAGAGTAAATTGCCAAAAATTCCTCAATCGTGAATTTCTTTTGTCCTTCATTTTTAGCAAAAATATTTCAAAATTGAATTAAACTAATTTGTACAATTTGCAATAAATATGTACCCTTTTTCTTCTCTCCACCCAATTTCTCCACAGTTTTCAGAGTCGGGACGAGACTTAAGGCACGGAGAACGCTGCCCAAATCGAACGCGTCAACGGTATCCTTCCCCTCAAAGTCATAAATTGAGAAGGCAAATTTCGCCCCTGAAAAAAATACAAAAATTCTCAAAATTTACAATTTATACAACTCATGATTTGTCCTTTTCGAAAAATAAATCCACTCTGAATTCAATATTAAGCAAACTGTACTAAATCCAGACTAAACTTTATTCTTCATCAAGTTAACGTTACTCTGGATTCAGTATAGTTAGCTTAATATGTATAAAATTCAGAGCGCATATATTTTTAAAAGGGTAACATTATTTTTAAGAGTGTACATAATTTAAAAAAATTAAAAGAATACTTTCAATATCCCGAGCGCTAAGATCCGATGCCATTATTTTCTTTTATGCAAAACTGCCTGGACAGAGATGTCTTTCTCCCGTAAATGAGCAGACCCAACTAGCCAAAATTAGATTGGTGGGGGTGCTTCATAAGTGCTTATTTTAGCTTAAGGAAATATGACAGAAAGAAAATATTATTGTAGTATTCATTAGTTATGTATGCAGGCATTTGCGTCATTCATACATGTCGAGTTATGCACGTAAATACATATTTTTTCGCATCCTTGTTGGCTTCGGGGGTAAAATAAATGTCAGAGTGGGAGTGAAATGATGCTATGTTATGAAATGATGAAAAAATGCGTCGGTGTCTGTGTGTTGATGTTGTGTAAAAAAAAGTATGATCCAGTTATTGACTGAATTGAGTTTGTTATGGTTCAGCAATGTTCTGGATCAAGTTGGGTGATAATCTGTAAAATGTTCGAGAGTGGTGTGTGGCGTGCTTTTGGGTAATGTTGTGGTTGGCTCGGAAGGAAAGTGGAAAGTGTGCGATTTCGGTGTGTGTATTTATGAGAAATCGGAAATGTGTAAACTTGTTTTATGTTTATTTATCGGTATACACGCAAACTTACCTATGTTTTGTATATCAGAATTTTTCACGCGAAACGGCTGGTTCTTTGCTTACAATGGGAGCGCAAACCATGTTCATCCGAGATTATTTTTTGACCGGGTTAGTTTGGAAGAGCAAGTCTCTAGAAACAACATTTGGTTCACCACTTGCGCAGATGCGCAAAATTCAGCAAGTTATGGGCGCCACAAGTTCGCAAAAAGTGGTCGAGAGTGAGCGCTCGCGCTGGACCTTGCATCAAAAATCATGCGTTTTTGCGAACTTGAGGAGCCCATAACGTGCTGAAATTTTCGCATCTGCCCAAGTGCCAAGCCAAATGTTCTTTCTAAAGACTTGCTCTTCCAAACTAACCTGGTCAAAAAATAATCTGGGCTGAACATGGTTTGCGCCTCCATTGTTAGTATTAATTTACTAATTAACTTGAATTGCTTGAATTCAACTGCAAAGTATATATATCAAATGGTAGTGTTTCTTCAACTAAATTTCTAAGTGGAAGTCAAGTTTCTTTTCTCCGTTTTTGCTAAACATATCACATGAAAAATCCGTCCTGAGAACATATCTGCATAAATGCACTGTGTATTTTGGGTATAAAAAAGAGTGAAAATGTTCGCGGATGAAGTTTATATTCACAATGAACGCAACCATAAATACTTTCACTTTTTCGTGAAAATAAAAATAATTAGATATTAAAATGTATGGGATCAACTCATTAAATATCTATTTACTTATTACAAGGCTGCACACTATTTTTATCTGAGAGTATGAACACACACACATCACAATCTAATTCTTGTCCGGATTGTACATACAATGAACAAATCGTTTTACTATTTTCCGAATCCGATTTACCACTTTCGTACATACGTAAAACATTGCTAAATAAATATCAACTTGCGAATTAATTTCGTTTCGTTTCACAAACGTATATACGTACATACATCCATTCAACATTTCGCGAGAATAATGCAGCTTAAAAATTATTTTATTCTTTAACTCACCATCAGGCGAAGAGGAAAAATGAATTATTTCAACATGTACGTAGGTACAAATAACGAATGCAGTAAAATTTTTATGTACCTCATTTGTAGTACACTTTCCTGCCAACGGATTATATTGATGTATAAATCTAATTTGCAAATAAATTTAATTTAATTAATACGGCTTGGATTAGGTATATGTATTTACGTGTGTATGCACATAAATACATACGCAGTAGATAAATGACACGACCATGTATTTGCTAACCTCAGAGAAGAAGAGAAATTGAATTTTACAATTTATTACAAAGACCGAAATCGAGTAAGCTGGCATCTTTATCTTCACTGGCCTGAAGCAAGCACTACAACTTAGCACAAACCATGGGCATAAACTTATTTACATATTTATGTATACACACATAAATAAGTTTAAATACACGCCTAGTACACCAGTATTAAATTAACACCAAGTGGTATTCATACAAATAGGGTGTGTACAACAATTATTGGACCAATGGAATTTTTTTGTTATTTCTTCGCTCATGTTACATATCTGGAATGTTCTGACGTTTGGAATGTTTCTGGAGATTATCACCCTACATGATCCCGTCATGTTTGAATTTAATCCATCAGTTATTTCTGGCGATATGGTGAAATGAGTGACAATGGCAGTCCAAAAGACATTTCTCTTTGTCATTCAGTATGTGAAAGAGACGAAAGGGGCCGTGCAGAAAGCATGTGATCGATTTGAGGGGGTGGGGGTCAAGGCATCTTATCCTTCCCATGTAAATTTTAACATGAGGAATATAGGTTACACAGGGACAGTAGGGTCAAAATTCCCCTAAACTGGACAGCATGCTTTATGCACGAACCCAAAGATCATATTCATGAGCGTTCTTCGTGTCATGAATGTATACAATTTTCTAATTAAATAACCAACTTAAATTATGTACGTAACTGATTGAAATAATTACATTATGATGCGAATTGTAAACGCCATTTTTGATGTGAAACTTAGCATTGATTTGCAAAATTATTAATGCATATATGAAATATATATACATACATACGCACTCACGAAGAAATTTCTAAGAAATATATATATGCCTGTCGTAAATGGAATTAAATATTCTTTAAAAACATAAATGTGACCTGTTCATTCACATAAGATTACATATTTATGGAAGCACAAAACGAGGTATTATTGGCAGATGAAAAATGACCGTGTTTTATAAAAACAGTGCATTAAAATCATCAATTTTATCGTAATTGTTTCATAATTTTATTTAGAATTCAATCCACACTGTGGATGCAGAGAGAAAGAAATTTACAGATGTCCAGGATATTTTCTGTTTGAAATGATGCACTCCGAATGGGACTTGTTTGGGGGATATGGCAAATTGCGATGGGTAAATTAAGCCCTTAGATATCGCCAGTAGGACATTCGTCCCCTATGCATCCGCTGCACCCCGCTCGCTTTCCCCACTTGTTGCCATCCGACAGACAGAGTGAGTCTCCGCAGTCTTGTGTTCCCTTGGCCACCACAGCCACGCCCACGGTCCCATTACATCTATAAAGCACGCGATCCCTACCAAAGGATAAGGTCAACCAGTTTAAAGATTTGACATGACGAGCGAATGAATTGTTTTATGGCGGCTTACCTGCAGCTGGTCCCACCCATCTCTTTGTTCAGCTTCCCCCCCGAAGATTGACGTGGCTGCCTCGACCTTAGGCTTACACTTGCATGGACTGTCCTCCAAAACGGCGAAGGTGACCAGTGATGACGCCATAACCACGAGCATGAATGTGGTGGAGAGATTCATAACTTTTCCAATCGTATTCTCGAGCGGGTTAATTACGCGGAAATTCTGAGTTCTTACAAAATAATTTTTATGCGAGTTTAAAGCTGCAAATTTCCAAACTTACGAACCACTTCCTTAGTGCTACAGAGAGAAATGAGTGATGTAAATGGTGAGCATATTCATTCAAGCATTTAGGTTTTTTGCATTTTATGGGTCTATTGTTTTACATAAATTCAAGTGCGTCAGCCAAACGCGAATTGGAAAAGCTAAAATCTATTGTTTAAGCAAGGATGCTGCCATTCCAGACATTTTACGATTATTTTTTACGTCACTAATGGCCTTATTTTCGCCAGAACCCCTACCAGGACCACCCCAAAATCAAGTTTTCAGACAGACAAGAGTTTATGCATGTAATTATGCATGTCAAAAGAGAAATTTGTATGCAAATGAATTTCTGAAATCGCAGAATTTACTAAAATGATAGGAATATTCCTCCTGTAATTACAATTTTTTATGATATTAAGAACTGTTGTGCAAACTTTGCTAAAAAATGGGATGGCCGAATTGATTTATTAATTAACGAAAGGAACCAACATTCTTCATAAATTTTCATTTTTGTTGCCTCTCTGATGAAGATAAAATACGTTTGGAAGCTGAACAAAGAGATGGGTGGGACCAGCTGCAGGTAAGCCGCCATAAAACAATTCATTCGCTCGTCATGTCAAATCTTTAAACTGGTTGACCTTATCCTTTGGTAGGGATCGCGTGCTTTATAGATGTAATGGGACCGTGGGCGTGGCTGTGGTGGCCAAGGGAACACAAGACTGCGGAGACTCACTCTGTCTGTCGGATGGCAACAAGTGGGGAAAGCGAGCGGGGTGCAGCGGATGCATAGGGGACGAATGTCCTACTGGCGATATCTAAGGGCTTAATTTACCCATCGCAATTTGCCATATCCCCCAAACAAGTCCCATTCGGAGTGCATCATTTCAAACAGAAAATATCCTGGACATCTGTAAATTTCTTACTCTCTGCATCCACAGTGTGGATTGAATTCTAAATAAAACTATGAAACAATTACGATAAAATTGATGATTTTAATGCACTGTTTTTATAAAACACGGTCATTTTTCATCTGCCAATAACACCTCGTTTTGTGCTTCCATAAATATATAATCTTATGTGAATGAACAGTTCACATTTATGTTTTTGAAGAATATTTAATTCCATTTACGACAGGCATATATATATTTCTTAGAAATTCCCTCGTGCGTGCGTATGTATGTATATATATTTCATATATGCATTAATAATTTTGCAAAACAATGCTAAGTTTCACATCAAAAGTGGCGTTTACAATTCGCATCATAATGTAATTATTTCAATCAGTTACATAATTTAAGTTGGTTATTTAATTAGAAAATTGTATACATTCATTGCACGAAGAACGCTCATGAATATGATCTTTGGGGTCGTGCATAAAGCATGCCGTCCATTTTCGGGGAATTTTGACCCTACCATCCCTGTGTAACCTATACTCCCATTGTTAAAATTTAGCGTAGGAAGGTTAAGATGCCGTGACCCCCACCCCCCTCAAATCGATCTCATGCTTTCTGCACGGTCCCTTTCTTCTCTCTTACAGAAGAATAATGAAGAATGTTAGTTGTTTTCGTAATTAATGAATCATTGCGTAAATTTGCGAAAAGTTTACAGGGATAATTTTTTGAAAAATTTCATGGGGTACGAAAATTGAACTCCTTGTCATGATTTTTGCCAATATAGATTGGGTCAATAACTTCACATGATGTCGAAAATAGGTCACGGACAAAAAGTCGGTAGAGCGCCCAAAATCGGTTTCTACCGCAGAAACCTAGAAAACCAATAATGAGAGATCCACTATTGAAACTGTCCAATTTAGCAGATGAGATGGGTTTTCCAAAACGTATAAGTTGTATGCGGAGAGTATGCATAATCACATTTTACATTAAAAACCTATCATCAGTACAGCTTTGCTAAGCTAGAACCAGGATTGATTTGTAAAACCATATTTGTCGCTAGTTTCCATAAAATCATGTGTAATGCTACTGTTGTTCACTAATTCTTGCACTAACTAACGTCAATTCTTCGGTTGCAATACGTAGCACCAAATTCTAAAACAATTTACTGCTCTTGACCGTCTCCTAAACTATGATGTGGGTGCCCTTCTGATTACTTTTTTTCATAATTAACTTGAAAATATTTTAGAAAGCACTGGGGATCTCGGTATCAAATTTCAGTTTTTCATATTAATTTTTGAAAATCAGTGGCGGTCACCTCATAGGGTCCCTCCAAATGAAAGTTTCCTAATTTTAATTCGTAATCTTCTATTAGGACCCATTTACATCCTCTGTATTAAATTTCAGCTCGATATGGTGATTTTCAAAAATCGGTGGGGGTCACCCTATAGGGTCCCTCCAGAAACAAATTTTTCCAATTTCAATGTATATTCTTCTATTAGGACCCATTTACATTCTTTGTACCAAATTTCAGCTTTCTACTATAATTTTGAAATTTTGGTGCATGATACCCCACTCACTCCGATGACCCCCAACGGTCAACCACTAGACCGATGTCGCCCATCTTCGAACTCGAGTTGTGTATTTGCATAGTCTAGATGTATGGAAAATTTCAAGTCGATCGGATAAGTTTAAAGAGAGTTATCGTCGGACATACAGACAGACAGACAACAAGGGTACATAAGCCCTGGTTCGGGCTAAAAACAATATGAGGGTACATATTCTTGAAAAATGAGACAATCTCAGTGTGGTTCATTTTTACTGGCAGGGTTCCTAAAACTCACTTTAAATAAATTCCACACATTCTGTAAATAACTGCATTAATCCTCCTTATAAAAACGATTGGAATGTAGGCATGCGTATGAAAATATAGGTTTGAAAAATTTAAAGCAAAACAAGTCCCAAAACAAATTTTGTACTAAATATTTATCTATTTAAAGACACCGTTTGTGAACCCTGCAGGAATATTGAGACTAGTGGTCTCAACGGTTCTCGGTTCTCATAGAACCGAACCGGAACCGATGGCTCGGTTCGGTTCCGGTTTATACGGAGAACCGAACCGAACCGAAACTTTTATTACCGGTTCGGTTCCGGTTCCAAGTCTTTGAGAACCGAACCGAACCGGCCGGTTCGGGTTGAACCGAACTTTATACATAAATACATTATCGAAGTTAATCATATTTTCGAAAAAGTTTTACGAATTTCCCGAAATACACATAGTTTCCAAAATGAAATTTTGACATGGCCACACCCCCAAAGTTCCCGAAATGAAACTTTGACTTGGTCACACCCCCAATGTTTCCAAAACCAAATTTTGACTTGATGACACGCCCAAAGTTCCCAAAATTAAACTTTTATTTGGTCACACCCCCAATGTTTCCAAAACGAAATTTTGACCTGGTTACATTCCCAATGTGTCCAAAACCAAATTTTGACTTGATGATACCTCCAAAGTTTCCAAAATGAAATTTTCACCCCCAAAGTTTCCTAAACGAAATTTTTACCCCCAAAAGTTTCTAAAATGAAATCTTTACTTGGTCACACCCCAAAGTTTCCAAAATGAAATTTTGACTTGGTTACACCCCCAATGTTTCCAAAATGAAATTTTTACTTGGTCACACCCCAAATGTTTCCAAAATGAAATTTTGACTTGGTTACACCCCAATGTTTCGAAAATGAAATTTTTACTTGGTCACACCCCAAATGTTTCCAAAATGAAATTTTGACTTGGTTACACCCCCAATGTTTCCAAAATGAAATTTTTACTTGGTCACACCCCAAATGTTTCCAAAATGAAATTTTGACTTGGTTACACCCCCAATGTTTCGAAAATGAAATTTTTACTTGGTCACACCCCAAATGTTTCCAAAATGAAATTTTGACTTGGTTACACTCCCAATGTTTCCAAAATGAGATTTTGACTTGGTTGCACCCCAAACTTGGAATTGTTTTCTAACTTCAATAATACATGCATAAGTGGTTTTGCTGTTGACATGTATTAGAATTTGCTTGTTTAAATACAGATAAGTTATTGGCTTATATGTGAAATTTCATCAGAAACATGTCAATTAGCATTGTTTGTTGTTTATTGCATATTAATAACACTACCGGTTTGACCCGAACCGCCGGTTCGGTCACGGTTTGGTCCGGTTCCGGTTCGGTTCCAACTAAAAAAAGTTCGGTTCTGTTTCGGTTCTTCAATTCTGGTTCTCGGTTCTAAACCGGTTCTTCCAAGAACCGAACCGAACCGCACCGTTGAGACCACTAATTGAGACACTGACGAAGCGGCAGGTCTCTCTTCACTATTTCTCTTCCACATGTTCATGAAACACAAAATAATACGAAATTTATTTTCAACTTTCTACAAGTCATCCAAATTTTCGACTTTATTCGCAAACTTGACTATCCATAAAATTAATTTTAGGAACGATACATTTTATGAAATTACTTAACCGAACCAATTCATCAGTTGCAGTGCAATATTTAAAGTAAATCTAGTCCAGGATTCGTTTTTTACAGTAAGTTACTCAATTTTTATGCATTTCTTGTTTTTCTTTTTATTGTAAGTAATTTTAAAAGCATCAGAATAATTTATTTGTTAAATAGATACTCTCAAAAATGTGAAAACTTTGAATAATCCGTACGAGTAAACTTTATATGGTTCTACAACAATGGTGTAATTTTATTGCATATGTAACTTCCGAAATCGGGAAATATTTGTTTTAACTGGGAGGGTTTGATTTGTTCAAGTAATTTGTGACAATAATCAGATTTATAATTAGTACAACATATTATTTATTGCTCTTCATGCCAATTTTATTAGATAACATGTGGAAAATACGTATGTATGATGTTTTTAGTACTTTCCATTCTTTATGGAAGGTTACATATTGCATTTTGAAGTGAATCAGTTTAAACCTTGCAATTGTATGCTATTCAAATAAATAAATTCCTTATCTATATTTTCAGATATTTAAACAATATCGCCATCATACATAACTGCGAAACAAATATATGTGCAGGATACTGAACACTCGCATCAAAACGGAATAATATGTTCACCAATTATTCGTACGTAAATTCAAGTATATTAAATACAAGACATAACTTATGTATGTACTTACATTTTTATTTCCAGATCTGCCACCTGACAAATATACTGTTAATCCTCATTGTTACTTCACTTTTAAGAGAAAATCCGATCAGAAGTGAAAAATGTATGAAAAACTCTAATTTTGTAATCTTTTTGCATGTATAATACTGACATTTCCTTGATGGCTTTGGCTTTAATTTTTAGACGATATGGCAGAAGCGCTGGAAAGGAATAAAGTACATTCGAACGTGTATTATCTCGGCCACTTCAACTCAGCCTTTATTAAGCAATTTGAACTGGCTGTAAAAGATTATGAAAAATCAATTCAGCCTGGTAGAGAAACTCATGCAAAGAAAAGTACGTTTGTCCATGGAGGCGGAACAGGCATTGGAGGTAATAATTTGTGAAATTGGATATTTTTGACATTGAAATTGTCCTTTCTAAATTGTCAACTCACTTTTTTAAGATTAATTGTGTAGCATTATTTTTCAGTATCCATTTGTTATCACTTCAACAATTGAACCAACGCCACAAGCACTTTTCTGAATTTGTAAAAATAACAACTAATTTTCCCAAAAATCTATGCGATATATAATTTTTCCGTCTTTTTCTATGCATATCTTGATAATGAATTGGATGTAGCATTCGCAATATAGACAAATCTTTTTGCTCGTTTTTGTACTAAAGATTGCGTCTAAATTCAAAATTGGATGCAAAATAATTTTATTTTTGTACAAATTTTTACAGGAGTTTTGGGTGGAATACTTGGCCTATATTTTGAAGTAAAAGGCCTCGCCGGACCTGCCGCAACGGGTGGCAGCATGGCAGGAAATTATTTCCATAACAAATTTCAATTTCGTGAAAAAGCGAAGAAAATAGTCGCCACACTTCAAAATTCGGATTCCAGTAAAGAAACATTTTACGACGTGAAACAACAACGCCAAAATCTGTACAAAATCCTAGTCCAAGGTGCTACTGAAGTCTTTGTAGCGTTCGAAGAAATATTTATGGCAGTGGCACAACACGATTTGCGTGACTTGGACAAAATCGCGCATGACGCAGTTGGTCGCATTTTTAATTATCTGAGTCACTCTGATTTGCAAGAATTTTCATCTGAATCAATCTGGAGAGGTGTTTTAGAAGGGGAATCAAAATTAAGTACGCTTGGAAAAGCTACACAATCAAAAACGAGGGGGCATAAAATCTATTTTGTCAAAAATGGTGCAGATGAGGACGACACAAAAATGGAATCTAATAAGAAAACTAGCTTTCTCCAAAAGCTACCATTACCAAAGTTACCAAAGTTGAAGCTCAGCAAAGCTTCGAAGATGGTCACTCAGAAACTTTATTCTCAACCAAAACTCCCCCGAAATAAGAGTGCAGTTAAAATTAATTCCTGTGACATGTTTAACTTTTCCGGCGTTTTATTTCCCATTGAAAATAATCCTTTTAAAAAGTTTACTCTTTATGCTAAAGATAGCGACAAACTTAACTTGTATGGATACCGTCTCTCGTTTGAGGGAGAAAGTAGTGAATATTTGGAACGGTTAGGGTACAAGTCACTGGATGACATACGCGACGATAAATATGAAGAGAACAGAATTAATGAGAATCAATTAGACGAAGCAAATGAGAAGGTTAGACATGAAAACATATACACTCTTAGAAATCTAGTCTTAAAATAATACCAAGCGGTATTCATGTTTTAATCTACCAAAGTGGTATTGATAAGTAATATCGTGCAATAATAGCTCAATATTATCATAATCTTGCTATACCGGTAGTAAATTTTTGCGCAACGGTATAATTTTAATACCAACCGGTACTAACTTTAATACCGAGAAAATATAAATATTTATCAAATTTGTGCAGATTCTCAAAGATCTGGAAGAAGACTGGAAAAAATTGCAGAATGATATTTCTACTGTCCACCAAGAAGTGCAGAATGTGGGGAACATACTTTACGACAAAGTTGAGAACATAGCTCAGATCATTCAACAACCCAAGATTAAAGAGGAAATCCCCTTTTTACCTTATCCAAAACCTGATAAAAATTTCACTGGCAGAATTCGGCTTATGGGCGATGTTATCAAGTGTTTCACATCATGGGACAAAAAATCTAATCAGCAGATTGGATTCCCACTCGTCGATCTCCACGGTCTCGGAGGTCATGGAAAAACACAAACTGCACAAAGTATCGCAGCCCGTTGCATTAAAGATGACCTTTTTAATGGCGTGATCTGGATTGACGCCGAAACACAATCTGGAATCATGGACAAAATCAAGAGGGAATTAGAACATCAAGAAATTCAAAACGTGCCTGAAAATGATGGGATACTACTTGCTAATAAACTTTACGATTTCATAATTTCCAAAAGTCCACAAAAAATTCTAGTCATATTCGACAACGTGGAAGGATTTGAAGAAGTAGAGAGCTATTTACCGTTCAACAAAAATGTGGATAATATTGCCGTATTAATCACATCCGTGGAGAAGATTATAGTTCCAACTGGAATGGGAGAAATTGACACTTTCAAGGTGGACATTTTTGAAAAAGATGAAGCTAATGAGTTGGTAGTTAAAGTACTGAATGGTAAATATTACCACGCATAATCGAACCACGCATAATCGAAATACGTAGAACTAATAAATACTTACATCTACGTAAATTTCAGTAGATGGAAGTATTTATTTCGAAGCAACGTGAATACCCAGTGGGTATTACCCACATCAACTTAACTGTGTTTTTCGTAAAACTTGTAACTAAAAATTTAATTCCTAATTATTATAAATTTTGTAGTATTTGATTGATTGCATTTGTACATAATTTCAGTTGGCGAAACGGAACCTGATATTTCCCTACTTGTCTCGGAGTCTGGACGAATACCAGTAATTCTTTGCATCATGACAGGAACCATTGTCAGCGTTCGGAACCTAGGACGCTCTTCATATTCTATAACGCAGTTTCTAAAAGAAATGAAGGACAAATCAAAAATACTCAGATACCCAACCGATCCCAATACCAAAGATGATCTCAGAATGCAATACAAGAAAAGTTTGTACACCTGTGTCAAAATTGCTTTGGAAAAATTGCAAGAATCCAACCATTTGTACGCCCCACTCGCAATTCATTTTATTGAAAGATGTCCGTACTTCTACAATCTTTGTCCCATTGATTATTTCCTCAAACATGTCACTACTATCAAACGGGATATGAAGGAAATTTCAAAAGCATCCTTGATCCCTCTCAAACCAATTGAGGTGCTTAAAAATGCAATCCGGCTCGTTTCATCATTCTCTTTAATTAACTACAAATCTGAAAAATATTCGGAATTTGGGTTTGAGGTATTTTACATGTTTATTTATCTTTATATATATATCACCGTATACAGGGTGATGTAATTGTCACGCTACAATGGAAAAACTTGCATATTTCCATATTAGTTACCGAAATTTTGTCTCTGAAATTCAATGTAAGAATTTTGTTATCATTTTTCCATCAGTTTTGATAATAATTGATAAAAATCTCAAATCTTGCGACTAATGGAGATTGAGGGGCTTTTCCCATCATTGTAGCGTGACATTAAACAACCCTGTACATACATCGAGCTAGTTCAACCGAAATGTGGTACGTTATCTTGCACAAATTATAAACCATTTATCTATTCGATTATTTTAGGTGGAAATGCATCGTCTGGTCCAGAGCACGATAAGATTAATACAAGAGGACGAAAATCTAGAGCACGACATATTAGACGACCTACTCGGCTGTGAGGATTATCCAAAATCTAAATTTAGCGACGTCAAACTGGATAAGACTGACGAAGCCTTTTTTCACTCCGGTTCAATTGCCATTCTTTGGTCACACACGATACATTATGAAGATCTAATTAGGTTCGTTAACTTTTTCAAATGTAACTGAAATGGAGGTCTAATTGTAATCAATTAAAAATATTTTTTACCAATGCTAACTCTGTAGGTATTCCAGCGTATGCTCTCAGATTTTGACCCCACTAGTGTCAATCGATCTCAAATTCAGTATGCAAAAGGCACGATCTTCCAATGCTCAAGTTTTGCAGAAATTTTTGCATCCGAAGAGGAAAAAATCCATATTTAGTAAATTTGGAAACTGCAAAATTTTGCAGCTTTACCGCGCATTTTCTCCTCTAGGGATGCAAATATCTCGCCAAACCTGCGCATTAGCAGGCTCTTTCTCAAACTTCTTACTAATCAAATTTGTGATAGAAGTTTGGCCAAAATTTGAAAGCTTACGCTGGGACCCCTCCACAGTGAGCTTGAAAAACGTTTTTAATAGTTAGTAAGTAATACTGAGTTTTCATTAATTTATTATGTCTCACCAGAAAATACTTCATGGAGCAAGCATCCCTAAAAAAGATGATTGACTGTGGGTTCTTCAACGAGGTCAGAAAAATCATCCAAGTACTCGGAGAAGAAAATGCAGTCAAGAGAATGCTTCAGTTTGAACCTGATCAAGCCGTTTCCAGAGTAGTAACTCGAAATGCATTCCAATCAGCTTTAAAAAATGACTTTAACGGACTAGGACTACATTTTATACGAATACTTCAAGATTGGCGAAGTGATATTTGCGACACGCTTTGGACAGCGGGGATAACAAGCACTCTAAAATTTTGCACAGAAAGCTTGAACCCAGACGTGGTGACCGTTTTGGTGGAGAAATTCGCCTTAGACGCCGACTTTTTATCAAGCAAGATTGGCAACGATACTCTACTCGTGCACGCCATACTTTGCGGTAAACTGCACGTTGCAAAACATTTATTAGACAAAAATGCAAATCCATGTGTCAAAGGGTATCATGGATACACTCCCTTGCACGTTTTGGCATGTCGATGGGAGAAAGGAAAAGCGGGAACATGGAATCTCCTGGCAGCCCAAATTGTTTCAAAATACCCGACACTGATCTACGAAAAAGATGACAATGGAACATTACCTTTCATGATAGCGGCTGAATCTGGATATAAAAGTGCCTTAAATTTTCTTCTCAGCAATATGGAAGATCCGACGTCTCAAATTGATTGTTGTGATAAAAAGGGGAACATTGCGATGATGCTGGCCATTCAAAATATTGGGTACAAATCAATGTCAGGCGTCGTCCAGGTTTTAATGCAGTACGGAGCAGATATTCATTACAGAAACCCTAACAACTTATGGAATGCGTGGCATTACGCATTTAGTTCTGAGTTTGGTTACAAGAAAAGCAAGAAATCGAGATTTTACAATGTTCTCAAGATTCTAGTAGAAAACAATGTTTCGCCAGATATTCCAAATGAGAATGGTGACACATTTTTCCATTCGATGTTGAAGAAGAATGATAAGCTTCGTTTTGTCAAAAAATCCAACATTACAGAACTCTTGGAGTTTATAGCTTCAAATAACTTGTGCGCAATATTTGATTGCAAAAATGGAGACGATCTGACGGTTTTGGAGTTGGCTGAGAGCCTGAAGATTTCTGGAAGTTGTAGAGAGGAGAGCGATTATTCGGAAGACGCGATGTCCTGGGTGGATGAGAATAGTGGAAATTCCAGTGACGAATATTGTCAAATCGATGATAATAATTTACTTGAAGACGGGGTCAGGTCACTTACCGTGTCTGAAGAGATTTCTGAGGACGACGTGCCAAATAATGATAAATTGGGATGGATGGAGGATGAAGACGGTAACTTAATTTGCATTAATGATTTTATACGCGACGCCTTTGAAAATTTCGTCAATCTAGACGTTGTTATTGATTTCATTAAGAATTTAAAAAGTGAATGAGCTTACTGTGAAATGAAATTTATTGTGCCAAAGAAAACTAAATGTATGTAATTAAAATGTGTTTAGCCGGTGCTGTTTCATACTATTTTACTTGATTTCTTAACTATCTAAATAGTCATATTATAACTTATTTATGTATTATGTGAGGTTTCACTGTGTCGAATTGTGTCATTTTGCTGTTCTCCACACATTAAAAAAATTGTAAAATATTACCGTTATTTTGTATGCAATTTATAATTCAAATGGAGACGTGTGCGATAAATTAAATATAACCTTAGGACAGGACTAAACTTATGTATTTCTACGCTTCATCCATCATTTAACCATTCAGGCTATTTCATATTGTAACAAGACGACACTACTTTCCATTAGGGACCCTTCATAAATTATGTCACGCGGGATGGCGTAGGGAGGCTCCAATGATATCGTGCCAATGTGACATATGTATGTGAAAGGAGGAGGGGTATAGAAATTCTAGATTTTTGACATAATTTATGGATGTCCCCTTAATTCATTTGACAATTTTATTCCAAGTGCTGAGTTTATTGTGGTCCTGGCTGCCCCAGGCATTCCAAATTGGAATCGTGGCAGAAATAAAAATAGGATAATTGCTGCACCACATGGGAATTCTCATGCTACGGGAAAATGAAAATTTATGCAAATATTGCATAAGCATAAAATGTGATACAGATAATCCATACATGAATATTTTTCCAACCATCCAGATTTATTAAAGATTTTTTACATATATCGGTACATAAGTTGCAGATTTAGATCATGTTCATGATTTTGTTACAGCTTGACTTGACTTCAAAATATTAAGATTTTGTGGCTTGATTCAAATTACAGATAATTGAAACTACTATTGTCATGCGTACTACGTGCAGAGCTACGTTTTAAACATTATGGGGTGCGAAAATGCACATTTATGTAGTTTTTACGTTGTTTTGAGTTTTCCGCAATAACACAAATCCTTAATTGTAACCTGTTACGTGCAAATTTTAATACGGTTCTACCCGATTTTTGCAATACTGATGTAAACTTTCACCAATAAATATTACCAAAGCCATTGTCAAACCCGCCGTAAAAATCAGAAACAAACTGAATAAATTATTAACTCTTATAAGGTCGTCGAATCTAAGCATTTCTGTCGAATCCACAAATACTTTTCGTTCCTTTAATATACTCCTAGTTTCATTTCTAAGCTTATAAACTTCCCAATCGATTTCATACTTAGTCCAAAAATTGTAAAACCCAAACTCCCTAGCTGCCCCAAGTAAAGAAAGAATTTCAACCCTCACATTTACGAAGGCTACTTCATAAGTATTTGTTTGTAAAAACGTCTCTGGCGCGAATCTACATTGGACCTCGCCGCCCGCATTTTCCTTCCTTAACTGCGCCTTGGATCGTTCCTTATTCACAGAAATAACCGTTATGTCAGCCATGATCTTCCATTTATATAACAAGTCTCCGAACAACTGGGTTCTGTTTTGTAGTTCGTATAAATATTTGTCATCTTTCACCCACCCCGAGATCCCTAATCTTTCAAAGTCATACTCATACCGGTTTAAGTAAGGATCTCGGGAGATGTCTTGCGATCTATTTAACGACATCCGCTGGAACGCTATTTTGTACCCCATCTTCAGCAATGTAGCAAAACCAAAATTATTTTCAACCTTTATCGGAACCACGACCGTGCTGGTGAAATATGTCTCGTAAACTGCCAACGTAACAATCATTATCATATGGATGGTCCATTTAAGCGAGGTATTAACTCCAAAAACTTGTCTCATGTGAATGGCAGCAACGGCAAATAAGTTGGCAAAAAACGTTTTTGGATATAAGGTTACTTGCTGTGACGTAATTTTAGTTTCCACCAAGGTAATTGTGGCCCCGGTGAGTAACATGGTAAGCAAAAGTGCGGCCCAAAGTTTGGCCTTGAATGGAGTCACCCACGCCCAAAATTGTAAACTTCCTCTGCCCGGGGGACCATTGGGTTCACAATATTTAAAATTGACGGTGATGGGATACTTAAATCTTAAACTGGCGATAGTGCTGTTTGCCAGTCCTGGGGTAGGCATGATACCTAAGCTGATAATGCCGCAAGAAAAATTAAACTGTTTTGGAGCATCTTGAAGCGATACGTTCAAAATGGATGTTATAAAGTTAGGAATCCTCCGCTCTGGTGTGCAAGGGTGTTTCGGAATCAACCAGGATGACGATGGACATGAAGTACTTATTAATCGCACTTCGCTAGTGGCAATTAAAAACTGAGGTTTTATCTGGTGGAATGTTTCCCTTAGTGAAAGATGGCTTAGTCGGGCAAATTCTGACATTCCTTTGATTTCTTGGAGCCCAACCCACACCCGTGTGGAGCAAAAGTAGCAATAAAAACTCCACTTTGTGTGTTTAATTGATGGTGGATTTTGGTATGTTAATTGTACCGCAACTAAAAATATTCGGATAGAGATTGTTTTCAGTTTACAATTTCTTTCGAAGGATTCTGGCGGAAATTTTATTTTGTTATCGGGTCGTAGCAGGATTATGGATGACTCGTAATTTGCACGGTATGCATATTTATTGGCGAATATGTAGTGCTCAATTTTTGACCAGTGCCAATTTGTGTTGTCCTTGGTAGGTATGGTCAACACGACGTCGACTACACATTTTTCTGTTTCAATTAATTCCTTTTTCATAGGGGACCCTCCTATGATTGTTTTTAACAAGAAGGAGGACCTCCTATTATCCATAATAACTGTTGTAAATATATCGCGGGATATTGCGACTTGCTGAAATGTTCTCTTGCCGAAATAATTTAATCGTATCAAACATGGACCGAAATCAGTTAAGTCTAGCAAGATATCTCCAAGACAACGCTCACCAAGCAGTAATACCACGATTGAAAGAATCTTCATCGTAATCTTCATCGTCTATTATTCGGTATTGATATAACTTAAGTTTTGTGTACCTGCCCGAAAATTAACTTGTACTGTCTCAATCGTCGGATAAGAATGTGGAAAATCACAAGTTTTAACATCTACGTATGTATGTAAAGGGTGTTAATAAAGTCCGATCCCATTTTTCCTATAAAAAAGTGAAGGCTAGTATAAAAAAAACTACCCGTCATACTTACAAAAAATGTTCGACATATTTACCTTAGTATTTGGTCTTGTTACCATTTACTTTAACCATGCCCTCAACTCTTTGTTTAAGGCTCTGTGCTAATTTTTCCAATGTGTCTGTGGGAATCGAATTCCATACATCTTGAACTTTTTTTACTAGCTCTTCCCTCGTCCGGGGTTGTGGTTCTTTGTATACATTTTCCTTAAGTATGGACCACAGGTTCTCCAGGGGATTCAAATCTGGGCTGTTTCCGGGCCACACCCCCTTGCTCCAGACCGTTGAAACTTGCGTCTTGATGAGACTCAAACTCGCTTTTGCTGTATGGGCTGTAGCACCATCCTGCATGAAAACTATTTTTCTTTCATTCGGAAATATTTCCTTGTTCCCCATGCTATCGAAATAGATAGGTAATATTTTTTCCATATAATACTTTGCATTGACTGTTTGGCCTTTTGGTATGATATGTAGAGGAGTCACGCCACGTGCACAAAATCCACCCGCTACCATAACTTTAAGCCCGAATTTTGGGACTGCTCTTGATGGTACATCCGATTTGTTTTCTGTCCTGTAACGAACATTTTGTTGGTTCAATTTTGGATATAGCTCAATAATAGATTCGTCAGTCCAAAGGATGTGACTGCGCAATTCTTCACCAAGTCTTTTTTCACTCAAATGGCCACTTTTCTGAAGGAGTTCTCCAAATTTCAGACGGTCATCGATATTTTTTTGTGACATGAGAGGTTTTTTGGTTAGTTTGTAAGCTGTGTGACCCCACCTCGTAGATTTCACAAATTTTTGCACGGTCACATAGTTAATTTGCTTCTTCTTCTCTTTATAGCGTTTTGAGTCATTTAACTCCCTTGCACAATTACGTAATGAACTACCGGTTTTCTTGTAAAGTCTGTTTTTAATCATTCTCTTTGTGGTAGGTGACACCTTTCTGGGTCGCCCGGGTCGCTTTTTGTCGTGGACAAAATTTTTGTTCTTCCATTTCCAAACAGTTCTGCGGCTGCAGCCCAATTTTTGCACAATTTCTGCAGGTTTAAACCCCTGCTGATGCAATGTTTGTATCTTAACTCTAAGATGCTCATGACTTACACGTTTAGTTGTTCCTCCCATGGTAAAAATTTGAAATAAATAACTTCACTGGTTCAAAAGTTCCAGCTGAATTTGTAACAACCGCGCTCCAAAAAATTCATGGGATCGGACTTTATTAACACCCTTTATAACCGATGTAGAATGTATAAATGTATCCGCATAGCAGACGTGTATGTAGAAGGTCAAATCCGCCGTTTGCTTGCGTCTCTTGTATAAGTCAAAGTTATAACGGGATTGTGGGTGTGTCTCGCGTGTCTGCATGTGTATGTAGCTCTCTTACTAATTGTAAAGTGTAGCTATTATGCAGGTATGTAATGAAGACTTTACATTAAAATAGGTACGTACATACAAAAGATATACATATCGGTTCTTATTTGTAATGGTGACATTGCATTCGTGTCAAAAGTCTTTTAACAAAACCATACCGGGATGATTCAGGTTACGAATCTATTTACCACTTTGAGATAAGGTGAATACATAAATACTTAATAATTTTGCTAAACTGGCATGCTAGGCCGCAGCCATTTGTATTGAACAAATGTGCTTTCCTGCATAAATTGATTGAAAAATCCATACAGATTATTTAAAATTTGTACGTATATGCAATGAGTAACGAGGAATTGGGAATAAAAATGTTCAAACTTGTCTTCATGCAGTTTACCTATTTATATATAAGAGTATATCTTCATTTCCATTGTGTATTTTGACAAAAAGGTGTCACTTTCAGGAAGGTTAAAATGAAGCATTATATATTTGTGTACATATTTACATATATACATAGTTTCATATATGCTAAATATACGCATGCATACTTACTTCCTTCATACTTATATACGTGAGAATTATTATTCGCATCTAACTGGAAAGGGGCCGCTCAAGAATTAGATATATAACTTGAGAGGGTGGAGGGGTCTAAAGCTCTAATTATGTAGTACCTATCTGGCACATGTAAAAGGAACAAGGGGTAATAGCGATTTTTTCGTTACATAAT